GGACTATCAATGGAATGGAATGTCTAAGGAAGAAGGAAGTTCCCCAAATAGAGGCTGCAATCACAGAGTAGGAGGGAGACAAGATGATATGGTGGAAAGGGAACTGGGGATGAAAGGGAAAGAAGAAAAGAACTGTAAATTAACGAGGGTACCCATCAATTTGGGAATGGCTGAATAAACTGTGGTACATGAATGTAATTGGACACTATTGTGATCTAAGAAGTTATTGGGTTTTTTTTTTAAAGAAGGAGTCCTAGACTGTGAGTGAAAACACTTGGCTTCGACTCTAGCCGTACATATTTTATCTTAGGCAAAATGCTGTCTCCTTAGGCCTCAGTTTCCACATCTGGAAACTAAGGGGATTGGATAAGATGATCTCCAAGTCTTCTTCGAGTTCTAAAGTTAAACGGCCTCTTCTGAGAATTTTACAAACTTTGGAAGGAAGTGCGTACATCATTTAGGGTTCAGGTAAAATGACCTCCAATACCTCTTCCACAACTGAGATTATCTAATTCTGCACCTGTATCATTCCTAGCCCCTTAAGGGTTGATAATGGCTTGAAATGTCAATTTTCCCCTTCTCTACTTCCAGGGATTCCTGAGTTTAATGAGGGAAACTGTATAGAGATAATTTTTTTTTGTATAGAGATAATTTCATGAGAACACTGGTGAATATTGGCATGGCAACGGTTCTTGTAAAAGAGAAATGGGGAATTGAATTGGCCACCAATTAAATGTGACCCAACTGTGTGACACAAGTACTTAAAAAGCTAAAACAATATCAGGGTACATTAATTACAGTACAGTGCCCAGGTTATAGAGGATAACAGTTTAATTGTAAGCTCAACTGGGGTAGAAACCCTCTGCAATGATTTGGAAGTTAAATTGGATGACTTCTAAGCTCCCTTCCAGGCTTCTAGGTGGCACAGTGGATAGAGCCCTGGGGCTGGAATCCGAAAGACCTGAGTTCAGATCCAGCCTCAGATACCAGCTGTGTGACCCTGTGTAAGATATTAACCCTATTTGCCTCAGTTCCTCACCATTCCAGTATCTTTGGCAAGAAAATCCCAAATGGGGTCACCAAGAGCTGGACACAACTCAACAACGATTTATTTCTTTTGATATTTAGTCCGTATTTCCACACCTGTATCCTTTTCTGTCCTTCCCCCTCCCCCACCCTGTAAAGAGGGATTGTTTCATTCTTTGTATTTTTCTCCCAAATACCCAGCACAGTGTCTGGAATACAGAGGTGCTCAGTAAGTGCTTGCTGACTGCCTCCTCTAATGTCTTTCTCTGATAAATCACCGTGGCATGGAGGTGACCCTAGTTTCTCTGGGCTAGGCTAACGGAATGTGGGTTCTGTCTACCAACCCAGAATGCCTGGGGACAGACAGGATTCTATGATTTGAAGAGCAGCCTCCCAAAGTTTGGAGAAGTTTGTCACCAGACTGAGGGAGGGGGGATAGGAAAGTGGGAGAGGAGAGGAGAAAAGGGGAAGGGGATGAAATTTCCTCTACAACTCTCCAAGATTCTCTGTCAGTCTCAGAGAGCTTAACATCGTTTTCAGCTTTGCCTCCCCACAGGGCTTGTATGTTGTGGGTTTTTAAGAGGATAGAAGCTCCTTGAGGTCAGGGAATAGTTCACTTTTATCTTTATATCGCTAGGCACTTAATAGATGACGTGATAGAGTGCTGGATTTGGAGACAGGAAGACTTGCCTCAGTCACTGTCTAGCTGTGTGGCCCCGGGCAAGTCACTTAACCTCTGTCAGCCTGCTTCCTCATCTATACAATGGAGATAATAATAGCACCCACTTCACAGGGTTGTTGTGAGGCTCAAATTAGATCACATATAAATGCTGGTCATTTGTAATAATAAAGTATTAATCAAATATTCTTATTAATAATGAACTATTTGACACTTGACAAAGAAAAGAAAGAAGCCAGTAGATGTGATTTCTGGTCCCATCTATGTCACCAGCCAGGATGTGGCCTCAGACAAGTCAATACAGATCTTTGGACCTCAGCCCCATTTTACCTCTCCACCTCATTACAGCCGTTATGGCAGCAAGTAAGTTAATGGATGTGAAAGCATTTGGGGAAAGTATAACGCATCATTATTTGTGTCAGCATTATCCAAATTATTCTTAAAGTTACTTATAGTTTGGGGGGGAGGAAAAGAGAGAGAGAAGAGAGGAGAGGAAAGAGGAAGAAAGAGAGAGAGGAAGAAAAGGAGAGGAAGGAGGAGGAGAGAGAGAGAAAGAGAGAGAGAAGAGAGGAGAGGAAAGAGGAAGAAAGAGAGAGAGGAAGAAAAGGAGAGGAAGGAGGAGGAGAGAGAGAGAGAAAGAGAGAGAGAGAAGAGTTCAAAATCATATACTGTTCATGCTGAAGAGGATTTTATATTTTAAAGATCATTTAGCACCTTCTGCCCTCAGAATCCCAATTTTACAGGAAACTGAGGGCCAAAGAAATGTTCACCCAGACTCACACAGCCAATCATTTTCAGTCATGTCCAGCTCTCCATGACTCCATTTGGAGTTTTCTTGCCAAAGATACTGGTGTGCTTTGCAATTTCCTTCTCCAGTTCATTTTACAGATGAGGAAATTGAGGCAAACCAGGTGAAGTGACTTGCTCAGGGTTTGAGGCCACATTTGAACTCAGCTCACACAGCCAGCTATTGGCAGTCAGGACTTGCACCTGGCTCTTTCCATCCCTATTCCAATGCTGCCTTCAACTTTTACGAACACAGATGTTTTCTGTGAGTGCCCCCTTTGGGAGGGTTCCTTCCTCAACATTCATTTGAGGATGGCTTTGGGTCTGAAGTGACAGGTTGGGATCACCAACCTTCAGTCCTGGCTCCCTGAGTTTTGGGTGTCTTACTCCCATAAATAGATAATCTGGGGACCAGATCAGGCACTTTCTTAAGAGAAATTCCAAGTACCTCCCAATGCTATCTCTTCTTGAACTGATGGCAGCGGGTCATATGACCCCTATTTGACAAGTGGAAAACAGAGTTGACCTGGTCAACCTTGCCTTTCCCTAAACCAGAGTCTGCCACTTTCTACCTGTGTGTCCCTGGGCAAGACATTTCCACTCCCTGGGCCTCAGTTTCCTCATCTGCAAGATGGGCTAGATGACTTCAGATTTCTATAGAATTGTAGATCCAATTCAGAAGGAAAACTTAGAGGTCATCTACTCCAACCTCTTCATTTTACAGATGAGGAAACTGAGGCCCAGAAATGATAAAGGACTTCCCTGAGACCACATAGTTACTATGTGGTAGAACCAGGAATCCAATCTAGGTTTTCTGGCTCCAAATCTAGTACCCTTTCCAGTCACTTAACTTCCCTCGGCCTCAGTTTTCTCATCTGTAAAATGGGGGTTGGTGGCCATGCAGGAGGGCACGGAATAGATGACCTCTATAAATCCTCTGCCTGCTTTAAATCCCATGATTTTTTTTTGTTATCAGGGTAGTTGTTTCACTTCTTAAGTCTCAGTGCCCTTATCTGTAAAATGAGAACATCAGTCTTTGCCTTATATACCTCTCATGCAGGTGATTAGGAAAGGGTTTTTCAAAAATTGAAGCTCTGGGGAAGATGTGACTTATTATCATCATTATCATCACTTTTAGAGCCTTTCTTTTCACATTGACTCAACACAAAAGCTGAAATTGCTTTGACTCTTCAGTCAAATTGACCTGGCGATGTACTGGCCTGATTGATCACTCATTTGATGAAATTACCTCGCCAACATGATAATGCCTTTGTGCTTGGAAACTGTTTCCGAGTTTGCACCTTTCCTACTGATTGCATTAGCCTGTCTGTCCCTTTAGCCCTGGAGTGGCCTTTGGTCTAAAGCAATTGAGTCTGATCCGACCACATGGGGAAGGTTATGAGCTTGTCAGAGTTCATTGAGGGCTCAGAGAAGGAGCCCAAGTCCGACCCTCTAGCCACTGGGTAGTGGTAGAACCACCCTGCCTCTTCTTGAGACTTCCTTGTCCAGCAAGGGAAAGAAGGTATGGGAAGAGACAGAGAGAGAGAGGCAGAGGAACAAGATACAGATGAAAGGGGAGAGGTTAGATAGAAACAGAGATAGAAAGAAGCAGAGCAAGATAGACACAGAGACAAAGAAACAAGAGACAGAGAAGCATAGAAAGAGACAGACAGGGGTGAGAAAGAGATGAGAAGGCGAAAGAGAGAGAAAAGGCAACAAAAAAAGAGATTACAGAGAAATAAGAGAGACGAGGGAGAGAGAGGCAGAAGAGAAGGATATAAATGACTAGGAAGAAGAGACAGAGACAGAGATATAGATACAGAAAGAAGAGAGAGTAAAAAGGAAAGAAGATACAGTGTAAGACAGAAAAAAATAGTGATGAGAGAGAAAGAGGGAGAAAGAAAAGAGCGGAGTAGGAGAGGAGAGAGCCAGAGAAAGGAATAGAGAGAAGGAAAAGGAGAGGAGAGGAGAAAGAGAGAGAGAGAGAGAGAGAGAGAGAGAGAGAGAGAGAGAGAGAGAGAGAGAGAGAGAGGAGAGAAAGAGAGAGAGAGGGAGAGGGTATGGGGGAGGCAAAGAGAGAGACAGCAAAGGAGGAAGAGGGAACATTCTGTTACTGAAAATCAGCTGGAGACAGCATACATAGTGAGCCCTGGGGCACAGCCTTGATCCCCACAGGCCTCCCCCTAGAACCAGATAAGAATGATGAGGGCAGCCCTTGCACTTGCCTGGTACTGGGTAGTTTGCAACGCTAGGAGCTAGTAGAGTTTGTTTTTCCCATTTTAGGCATAAGAAAACTGAGGCAGACAGAAGTGAGTATCTTGCACAAAGCCACACCAAGTAAGTGGCAGAGATCACACTAGCACACAGTTCTCCCAAGTCCTACCTCCAAGCCCCAGGCTCTCATCAGCTTGTAGCCTTTGGTCCTGAGTGGTGGCACCCACTCAGAGGTAAGCCTGTATTTGTTCCGTGGCATTGTGAGAGCAGAGAAGCCTCAACTTTGCTTGAGGTTCAGAAGGAAGGGCCAGCACGGGCCTGAGGCCAGCTCAGAAGAGCAGAGGATTTCACAGTGAGAAAGGTCCTTAGAACATGGGAGGGGCAGAGTCACGAAGCATTTATCAGGCGCTGATACTATGTGCCAGACACTGAGGATTCAGTGAAGGGTAAAGGCAGGCCCTGCCCTCAAGAAGCTCACAGTCTTTCTCTAATGAGAAAGAAACACGCAAACAACCGGGAATATGGAAAGTCAAAGCTGGGAGGGCTCTTGGGACACAGAATGTCAAAAGTAAGGGGGTCTCAGGACACAAAATATCAGAGCTGGAGGGGTCTCAGGACACAGAATGTCAGAGTTGGGGGGATCTCAGGACACAGAATGTCAGAGTTGGGGGGTCCCAGGACACGGAATGTCAGAGTTGGAGGGGGGGGTCTCAGGACACAGAATGTCAGAGTTGGGGGGGTCCCAGAACACAGAATTTTGGGTGGATGGTCCATAGAACAGAGAATGTCAGAGGCAGGTGAGACTTTAGGGATCAGTGAATCTGACTCCTTCCTTTTACAAAGGAGGTTGAAGCATAGACAGGTCAAATGTCACACAGGTGGTTAGTGACAGTAAGTACGGTATGATTCTCCCTGCTTATGCTGTTTCTGAATTCTACCCAGTGACCTCTAAAACATGTTTTCCCCTTAAGAGTGTAGTTTTAGGACTGGAAGGCGCCACATAGATGATTTAATTCTGTCCCTTCTTTTTCATCATTATCGCTGAATTTACATAGCAGTTTGAGGTTTGCAAAGCACTTTAGAAATATATCATTTGGTCTTGTAAGTCCAGTGCTATTATTATCCCCATTTTATGAATGAGGAAACTGAGACCGAGAAATTACAGGGCTTTCCCAAGGCCATACAACTAGCAAATATCCAAGGTGGGGATTTGAACTCAGACCTTTCTGATTCCAAGGTCAATACTCTACCCGCTGTGATACCCAGCTGACAAATGGAAGAAACTGAGGACCAGATAAGTTGTGCAATGTGTCCAAGGGGACCCAGGAAGTAGTTGGAAAATGTCAACGCTTTTTAAAAAAAAATAGCCAGAGAAGTTAAAAGCGCTTGTTTGCCTTCTTGTCCCCAAAGAACCCACCAATACTAAGTGAGTGGATGTGCATGTGTCCTCCCATGACTGGAACTAAGAGGCCTGTCCCCCTTCTCCTCTCAAACCTCCTTTATTTTTCATTTTACAGGAAATCCTGACACTTCATTCCATTTTCAGAGCCGAGGGCCGAGGGCCTGAGCCGCTCCTGCTTCCCTTTATGGCCCTCATGGTTGGCAGCCGTGTCAAGAGGTTTCAGGGTGGAAAATGAGGGCCCCACTCAATGGGTCACGTTGCCTGATACTATGGAGCCAGCTCTCTCCTGACTTGGGGAAGGAGGATTCTGACAGCTAAGCCAAAGTGGCATCGGGGACTTTTCCCCAGCCCCAACATCCTGTGCCCCAATCCCCACCCCAACTGCCACCCCAGACCAAGACTTCTCCTTGATAACAGCTAACATTTGCAGAAGCTTTATATGCAGAAAGGGGGCTGGATCTGGGGGTCCAAAACCTTGGGCAAATCTCTTTAACCTCCTCAGACCTCAGTTTCCCATTTTCTAAAATCAAGACTCAGACCAGATGATGTCTGAGGTCCCTTCTTTTTTTTTCTTTTTCTTTTAAACAAAGCTGGCTCTGGATCTCTGATGCTCTGTTCTTATGACCTGGGTTCAACCTTTGTGAAACTTTAAGTAAATCATTTCTCTTTCTCTGGGCCTCGGTCTCCCAATTTGTAAAAATGGAAAGGTAGGAGTGGATGACTTCTGAGGTCCCTTCCACTTTTTAAGATCTTCTGCCATCGTTGGCCCTTCGTGACAACTATCTATGGTATGTTCCATATTTTTTTTAACAATACCTGTGATATCTCCAGTGTAGGCAGCTACTGGTGAAGAAACTTCCTCTCCCAATGCAGATCTGCCCATGTTGGGTAACCTGTAGTCAGAGAGAATAGTCTGGAAGTGACTTGCCCAAGGTCTTACAGTCAAGATGTATCAGAAGCAAAATCTGAACCCAGATCTTTCTAGCTTTCTATATACTATATCCAGCTGCTATAGGTATTACCATCCCCACTTTTCAAATGATGAAACTGGGGAAAGCTAGGTGGCACAGTAGATAGAGCACTGACTCTGGAGTTCAAATCTGGCCTCAGACCAAACACTTGACACTTACTAGCTGTGTGACCCTGGGCTAGTCACTTAATCCCAATTGACTCACCAAAAAAAAATGCATAAATTCAAATGGGGAAACTGAACCTCAGAAAAATGAAGTGACTGGACCATGGCCACCCAGCTAGTAAGTATTACCCCTCCCCAGCCCCATCTCTCCATGCCACCAAATCATTCTCCATTTCTCTGGCATTTTAAGGATTACAAAGCACTTTCTTCCACAGGTAGGATCAATATTATTATCCCCATTTTCCAGACAAGGAAATTGATACTTAGAGAAGTGAGTGACTCCTCCAGAATTCCCCAGCTAATAAAGCATCAGAATCCAATTAATCGATTAAAAAGCTTTTATTAGCCCCTACTGTTGTGCCATTATTATCAGTTTTCCAGGTAGGGAAATCAAAGCTGAGTAGATCAAAAGACTTGCCCAGAAATCCATGGTTAATAAAGTATCAGACTCCAATCCTCATGCAAAAAGCATTTATTAAGCCCCTACTATGTGCTAGGCATAACTGCTCTTTCCAATGCCCCATGGCCTCTCTTTCCTTCTGGCTCTTCTGTGCCTACAATGCTCAGCTTCTGGAACATTTGACTTCCCTTCCCCCCTCTCCTCCTCTGGCTCCAGGACAGCGTAGCAGCCTCTGACAACCCCCCCAATTATGTACACCCCCTCACACATACTTTTCATATAGAGTGGGAGAATAACAGAATGATCCAGAGATGGCAGTTTCCATAGCAACCCCAGAGCTTACAATTCCATTCTCATAAAACAGGTTTGGAAAGGTGAGGCCCTCCTGGCTCATCAAAGCTGGCAGGGGGAGGGGGCCTCCCTAATTAGTTGGGTGGAGACAGCAGGGCTGGCTCAAGAGGGCTTAGAGGGGGCCTCTCCTCAACTCTCCTTTGAGGCTGGGGGTCAGTGGTCTCCTTCTCCTGGAGAGGCTGAACAGTGGGACCGAGGAGACTCACTGGTGGGTGGAAGCCTGAGAGCCTGGAAGGGAGAGTGGGAGGAGGAGAGCAAAGAGGTGCTCTTAAAGAAAGGAGAATGGAGAGATAGGAGGAGGAGAGAAAGGAGAGGGGAGCAGGAGAGTAGCAGGAGGGACAAGAAATGGGGAAAGGAAAAAAGAGACAAGATAAGAGCATGGTCCAAAATGCCACCAAGAGCTCGCTGTGTCCCGTTACATTCATTCATTCATTTAACAAGTTTGGCAGATTGCAATCACCTAGCTGCTGGATGGTGTCCCTCTCTGCCCCCGAGTCTCTGCTCTAGTCCGTCCTGGACGCATTGCCAGATTAATTTCCTAATGTTCAGCTCAGATTGCATCCTTCTCCTGCTCAAAACCTTACACTGGCTCCAGTCTGCCTACAGAATAAATCCCTAATGACAGCCTAGCCTTTGAGATCTTCCTCAATCTGTCCCCAGGCTAATTCTGCAGCCCCCATAGCCCTTTTCAGGGGAACTCTGCTTCAGACTGGGTCCTTCACTCTTCCAAACCACAGCCCCTGTCTTCTTTTTCCCCCTCCAAACATCTGTTCCAGAGGCCTGGAATACACCCTCCCCACGGCTCCCACCTCTTCATATCCTCTTCATCCTTCAAGGACTGGTTTACATGCCACCTCCTCCATGGACCCTTCCATGATTTCAATGTTGGGAAGTAGTCTCTCTCTACCCAGATCTCTTCTGTCCCTGCTCCGCATGGGCTGTTTTGTTTCAGTCTTTGTATATTCACAGGCCAGGCACATAGTAAGTGCTCAATAAATGTTTGTTGGTCGATTGATTTAAAGGACTGTGGAAATGTCAGCTATGATTATGTTAATATTATTCATGTCCATGTTTTACCCACTGGAAGACTATAATCTCTTTGAGAGTAGGTACCGTATCGTACTCATCTTTGTATTCTCCCCAGCAACAAAACTAGTGCCCTTGTATGTAGTATTCGCTTAATAAATCATAATCACAAAATAGGAAAGAGATGTTCTCATCCACCTAGCCCAACCTATACAATAGATAGCCTCTATAACACACCCAATGAGTGGTCACCCAGACTCTGCTCAAAGACCTCTGAGGAGAGAGAGCCCACCACATCTCCAGGATGCCCATTCCACACTGGGACAGCCCATTGTCAGGAAGATTTTTCCGACATCAAACTAAATCGTTCTTTTTGTAGCTTTAACCAACCTAGTTCTGGCCACCGGGGCCAGACAGAAGCAGACTAATCACTTGATGGTCTTTCAGATACTTGAAGAGGGTTGTCATGTGCTCCCCCGAGTCTCCTCTTCTCCAGGCTAACCCTGCCAAGCTCCTTCATCTGATCTGTTGAATGAAAAAGAGATTGGATGAATTAATGCCTCACTCTGCCTCGTCTCTCTCAAGATCACCAGACTTAAGACGAAATAAATTCTCTTCCTTGGGTAAACTTCAGCACTTAGCATAGTGCCTGGCACATAGAAGGCACTTAATAAATGTTTATTAACTAACTCACTATTTGCATTACCCCAGGGAAAAAGATCTCAGAAGAAAAAAAAAACCACAATAATGAGTGATGATGGAGCTGTCCAGCTTCTGCCTAGAGTTCAAAGAAGACACACACATGAACAGAGGAAGGAAGAGGGATGTGGCTAAGACTAGGAGTGCAGAACTGATGCAGAATGCTGGACTTGAAATCATAAAGGCCTGGGTTCAAATCCTGCTTCATATATTTATTAGCTGTGTGACCCTGCACTAGTCACTTAACTTTTCTGTGCCTCAGTTTCCTTCTCTGTAAAAAGAAGGGGGGTTTGGAATGAATGACCTTTAAGGTCCCTTCCAGTGCTAAATCTCTAATCTTATGATCCCTCTCCCACAGGATCAGAGTTGACAGACACCTCAGAAGCCATCTAGTTCAACTGGTACCCAAACAAAAATTCTCTCCTACAACATCCTGGTCAAGTAGTCATCTGACTTCTTCGGAGAGGTGACCAGATGCAGGGAACTCACTACCTCCCAAGGCAATCCATTCTATTGTTGCCTGGCTCTCCCTGTTAGCAAGATTTTTCTGTCATCCACCGAGCCTAAAGGTGCCTTCCTGTAAAATCCACCTGTGTGTGGTGCTCCTGGTTCTGCAGTGACAACCAAAGTTCAGTCCATTGAGAAGCCGGGGACATTAGTGGATGTGAGTCACTCCCCCTTCCGCCAGGGCTGAGCCTCGGACCACCTGGCCCCTAGCTGCGTTTACCCATCTGTCCACTGTGCAGTGTTCCCTTCGCTCATTGACAACAGATGTTCTCCCTTCACTTAGGAAAGCCTCAGCAAGTAGCTGGGCTCAAGAATCAGTCTTAACAACATCTGCTAATTATTATTCTGGCTGAGAAGAAGCTTGATATTGAGACCAAACTGGGAAGAGATATGGAAGAATCTCCCCTGACCCCAACCACCCTGTCCAGGCATGAAGGAAGGCTATCTCACCCTTGGAACTTGACTTTTCTTAGGATATTTTCTCTAACTATGCCCAAAGGGCAACCAAACTGTGCATGTCCTTTGACCCAGCAATACCACTACTAGGTCTGTATCCCAAAGAGATCACACAAAAAAGGAAAAAGACTTATCCTATGGGTGCACAACTACTTATAGCAGCCCTTTTCGTGGGGGCAAAATGTTGGAAACTCAGGGGAACGCCCATCAATTGGGAAATGGCTGAACAAGTTGTGGTCTAGGAATGGAATGGAATGGTATTATGCAATAAGAAGTGATGAGCAGGAAGATTTTAGAAAAACCTGGAAAGACTTGCCTGAACTGACACAAAGTGAAATGAGCAGAAGCAGGAAAACATTGTACATAGTAACAGCAACATTGTGTGATGACCAGCTATAACTTAGCTCTTTTCAGTAACACAGTGGTCCAGGATAGGTACAAAGGACTCCTGATGGAACATGCTATCCACATCCAGAGAAAGAAGTGATTGACTCTGAAAGCAGATTGAAGCATATTTTTTTCACTTACTTTATCTTTCTTGTGGTATTTTTTTTCCTTTTGATCTGTTTCTTCTTTCACAACTGTGACTAATATGGAAATGTGGTTTATATGATTGCACATATGTAACCTACATCAAATTGCTTACCATTTTAGGAAGACGGGAGGGAAGGGAGTTAGGGAGAAAAATTTGGAACTCAAAATCTTGTAAAAATGAATGCTAAAAATTCTTTACATATATTTGGGAAAAAAATAAAATACTATCAATTTTTAAAAAAAGGATATTTTCTCCATCACTACCCAGCCCCAGACTAGACCATGCTTCATAACCCACTCAACCACCAACCCTGGCCATCTTGTTGACGTTGTACCCTGGGGACCACTTGACCAGACCTCCAGAATTAAACCTTTCATCTTTGGGACTCC